GGGGGGGGGTATTTGTTTAATAGTTTATTATTTTGTTGTGTAACAGCTGAATGTTAGTCAATTAAGTAAAGAGAAAAAACACTTCATGATGTTCATTCAAATGAGTTACAAGCAGAAAATATTACTTTACCTGCTTCATCAAGCTTTTGATTCAGAGTTTGCTGAATCAAATGTTTGCTGTGAAACAGTACTGTAATTGCTTAGAAGCAGATTACTGTGATTTATTAAAAGGGTCAAGAGACAAACTAAAGCAAACCTTGACCACGATTTTGGTGACCCCGTTTTTTTTTCCTTTTCTTGACCAATGAAACATCAGCATCTGATCCTCTGTAATTCTCAATAACAGCAGGTGTTCATCACTAATGCACAATCATCATTTAATTAGTCACTTAATTATCTCATTAACTTTAACTCTTTGAGGACTTGGGATTTGACTTGAAGACTTGCTTGTGACTTGAAAGGAATGACTTGGTCCCACCTCTGGACTCAAGTGAAATATGTTCAAAATATTAATATGTTCATGTTAAAAATATTAATTTATAAATTGAATTGGCAGTTGGCTAATTTAAGGAAGTCGGTTTCTAGAAATGAAGAGTTTTAATTTAATCCATGGCTTATTTACAGAAATATACTGTAAACTAGACTACAGTAAATAACTACACAATTAACAGTTAATTACTGGCAACAGTGTAGCCAATATTTTACCATTAGTTTACAATGCAAGGTTTTAGTGTAGATGTCTGACCTACAGTAACTAGCTGGCAAAAAAGTGTTGTCAATATAAGAAGATGGACTAAAAATGAACTCCCAAAACTTACTGCCAGATTCTGAAACCCTAAGCCTGAGAGTTTCAGATAGACAAAGTAGTGTTTGGATTCATTTTATGTACAGAAATATTCTTTGTTTAGTTAATTCAAATGAAATTCACAGTGATACTGTAATCACGTTATTAACACAGCATAAATATTAGTTTGTGCTTTTCTTTTTAACAGATATTTTTCCCTAATACCAGAAAATTACAGTTTTTCATGGGATTTATTTATTTTTTATTTAATTTTTTGTAGTGTATTCTTCCATTGACCCCTGCTACAACTACACTGTGCTGGACGATCCATGGAGAGCCAACAGCAGTCGCCTATCAAGCTCCTACAAGTGTGACAGTGATCTCACCTCGAGCAGCTGGTATCGTCTCTTCATTAACAACTTGAGCGCTCAGATCCCAGACACGTGTGTTGCTCAGTATAGCTGTGGCACTGCTGCTCCACTGTGGATTCGTGGTGGACACCCAACAGTTGAAGATGGAGTCGTCACTCGAGATATCTGCGGTCACTGGAGAAATTACTGCTGCTTTTTCGGGTCTTTTCCCATTAAAGTCAAAGCCTGTCCAGGCAATTATTATGTCTATGAGCTGGTTAGACCAACTTTCTGCAATTCAGCATACTGTGCAGGTAATTATATTCACATGAACTCTTTGTTTTATTTGTTTGATTGCTGATTCATTGATATTCATCAGCCCTTTATTTTTTTCAGCTGTTACTAACATCAGCAGCACTCATACAACAGTCACACCAGAGACGAGCCCAGCTGGTAATGTAGTCTGATATTTCCTCTGTTGATTTGTGTTTTGATTGAATGTTTGTGGATCATTGCAGACATTTTCATTTTTGAGGGCGATGCATGAGTGTGATGGTATGATTGTTCACAGATTCTGACTGCAAGGAGATTGAGTGATATTAGTCACCTTTAGATTCTTTCTTTCTTTCAAATTTCTACAAACTAGTTTTTGTTCATCCACACTCATGTATGGAAGCCCTGAACCACAATGTGTAATATATATATATATATGATCAATATAACACGTAGCCATGAGATATCGGCTGTATATCGGCTGTGATTCGGCCGTAGGTAATCACAGCGTGCCGATATACCTCCATATCTCACATCTACGAGTATGATATTGCATTTATACAACAGTTTGACCGCACAAGTGTATAAATATCAAGCATCACGTTAGTTCAGGCAGGCCACGTCAGTCAAGCTCGCATCAGCTGATAGTCAGCTGTTCCTGACATGTACCAATTCAGTCTTGACACTTATCACAGCGGTCCATTTAAATTCCTATTCTTTCAGCATCTCTTCTATCGCATTGCTGCACGCAAATCAAACTCCTCCAACCCCAACTCCACCTAACTGAACCTGTAATTTAATCTGACTTTAGTTTCTTTTTCGTATACAGTTCACTACATTGCAAGCATTCTCTATCATGTATTTTGTATTTTCTCATGTAAATTCTGAATTGTAATTATGTATGCATAGGGTACAATGGGGCTAAAGGCCCACCTTAAGAAAAAAAATGTGCTATTCACTGCGCCTAAAATGTATAATTGCAGAAAAAAAAATATACGTTGTATTGAACATTAATGGAGCAACAGTTTTTGTGTGAAAATAAATCATTCAAGTTGTTTATTTTGTTTAAATATATTATACATTTATGAGGTGGCAAGGGGGGCCTTTTACCCCACACACGGGGCAAAAGGCTCACCAGCATGGGGTAAAAGGCACACGGTATTGATACAAATACTTCAGCTAAAATAACGTTTTTTTTAATTTTATTTTTTATTTTTACAATGTCTAAGTTAATACTTGTTCAAAACAATCACTTTAGCAAAGTTTGTACTATTTTCTGCTTATTTTGAAAAAATCTAATTTTTATTTTATTATTTTTTGTTCAATAAATATACTGTCATTAAAATATGTTAATATAAAAAAATATATATTTTAAAATACAGAAACAAAATTGTTTTAATAAGTAAAGATTCTGAAAGTATTGAAGGAGATCCAAAAATAATTTAATATATATATATTTACAGTAGTGACAACACATTATATTTTATTATATGATATGATTTATATCATGTTTTTAAATAGGGATGTAATGATTAACCGCAAGCCGGTTGAAAATCGATTAAAATATGCGACGATTCAAATCAGTTGAGATGCTAAACAAATCGCGATTCAATTATGGGTAGGAGTTTATTTGAATGTATGTCTGAGGGGAACTTACTGTCTTTAGAATAGTTTAGATGGTATTTTTTTCTTTTCATATTGCCTCTGTCTTTAGAATAGTTTAGATGGTATTTTTTTCTTTTCATCTTGCCTCTGTATAATGCATATTAAAGTTCATAAGTGCAGCGCTGCTTTGTTTACAGCTGAAACCAATGAAAGGGTTTAAGCGCCACCTGCTGGCAGAGAGTGCATCTGCGTCTCGTTCAGCTCGTCTGCTGTTTCGGTTTCATGCAGATGTTTTTTATGTATAGTTTCACAAAACCGAAATCAAACCATTCTGTTTTTGCTTCAAATTTTGAAATTATACAATCTACAAAAACTGTTCCTGTTGCATGTATGCAGCATCTTTGTTTGGATCATGATTAAAATGCAGTGGTTGCCTGCCTCTAATTTTAAAGGGAAAGAGCACAGACAAAGCCTTATTTTGTTTATATGATTTACATTTACATTATATTTACATTTTGTTATTTAGCAGACACTTTTATCCAAAGTGACTTACAAATGAGGACAAAAGAAGCAATCAAAACCAACAAAATAGCAATAATGTGCAAGTGCTATATTAGTATATTATTATATTATTATAGTGTTATATTTCAATTTCACAAAGAAACGTGCAGCATTTTGTCCAAGCAATAATAAAAGGACACATTTAATTTATAATTTGTCTTAAATCTCATCGAGAATCGAATCGTGAAAACAAAATCATGAATTGAATCGAATCGTCAGTTGAGTGAATCATTACATCCCTAATTCTAAACATGGTGATTATCTCTAATATGGACACCCACCATAATATATGATTCATTCTCTCATTCGAAACGTCATACCATTGATATTACTTAAGAAGTTAAAGTAAATACGTTTGAAAACTGCGCGCTTTCATGAACACATATTTAATACATTGGCGGAGTAAGAACGTAGTCGCACACCGGAGGAGAAACACAGCCGCGTTTAGAACAACTCACAGGTATCGCACCCAGTTCAAGACAGCAGTCCACAACAGTTAATATAAAAGCTCACTTCAGGAATTAACAAAGTTGCATTGATGAGTTTGAAGTACAGTGTTTGACAAAACAGATCAAACGGAAAGATAAAGCACAATCTATGTCTATTATTAGCTCTCTATATAAAGCATATTGACAGAAAGACAAAGGTTGTGCTGAAAGATACACAATCTTCCAGCATAATTTGGCACAAATATAATGTGAGTTTATGGAAAACCATGTGAGTGGAATGTTGTTCAGCTGAATGTGCAAAGCAAACTGTTAGCGGAAATAGCCCCCAAAATGGGATTTATGTCCCCACCAATGTCAAAAGCAAATCTATGCCCTTGTCTAAGCGCATCCATATAGTCTAGCATGGATGAGAGCAGCAATAACCCAGAAACAAAACCATATGCCATATCCCCTGACACAAAATGACAGTGGAAATCTCAAAGCCTTAAGCAACAGCATGTAGCCCTTACCCAATGAAAGAAAACAGAATGTTGCCGAAACTTGCATAAGCCATAGCCACAAGCGTGTTGCAATTAACCAGATGACCTAACGAGTATGTTGCCATTACCTGAAAAGCTTAATCAGCAACATGTTCTCAATGACGACCGGACAGTTTAGGAACAAGTGTGCTTCCAACACAACCAGACAGCTTAGGGACAATCGCACTTCCAATAACACCAGACAGCTTAGGAACAAGCGTGCTCCCAATAACAACCAGACAGCTTAGGGACAAGCGTGCTTCCAACACAACCAGACAGCTTAGGGACAATCGCACTTCCAATAACACCAGACAGCTTAGGAACAAGTGTGCTTCCAATAACAACCAGACAGCTTAGGGACAAGCGTGCTTCCAATAACAACCAGACAGCTTAGGGACAAGCGTGCTTCCAATAACAACCAGACAGCTTAGGGACAAGCGTGCTTCCAATAACAACCAGACAGCTTAGGGACAAGCGTGCTTCCAATAACAACCAGACAGCTTAGGGACAAGCGTGCTTCCAACACAACAAGCGTGCTCCCAATAACAACCAGACAGCTTAGGGACAATCGCACTTCCAATAACAACCAGACAGCTTAGGGACAAGCGTGCTTCCAATAACAACCAGACAGCTTAGGGACAAGCGTGCTCCCAATAACAACCAGACAGCTTAGGGACAAACGTGCTTCCAATAACAACCAGACAGCTTAGGGACAAGCGTGCTCCCAATAACAACTAGACAGCTTAGGGACAAGCGTGCTTCCAATAACAACCAAACAGCTTAAGAACAAGCGTGCTTCCAGTAACAACCAGACAGCTTTGGAACAAGTGTGCTTCCAGTAACAACCAGACAGCTTAGGGACAAGCATGTTTCCAATTCGACTAGACAGAATAAGCGTGTCTGATACCGGTGCAGAATCAACACTGAACTGATGGCTGCATTCAAAACTGGAAAATGCTGCCTTTGGAGGACACATTTCAAGGAAGGCATCAAGACACGTCGAATCCAATGCTAACTTCACTTCCTGCCTCCTGAGATACCTTCACCTGGTCGATGTTTAAAGGAAGCCTCAGAAGCATGACTGATATCAGTTTATTGAGTTACCTACATGAACAAACGCTGCCTGCGGAGTCATTGGCTGATAGTCAGCGAGGCAGCATGTCAGCAGCCTAGTTTTTCGGATGCAGACGACTTCAACTGAACAACGACCATTTACCATTTTCTCTTTGGAGCTGCGCTGTAGCAGAAATTATTCCGTTTCCACCATGGTCGTTTTTCCTGCTGCTTAAATCTGTGCTGTAGTGCTATAAAATAAAGGCGACTTGACTATATTAAAGGGGACATAACACAAACAGTTTTGGCCAATCTCATGTTATCTTGAGTACCTATAGTGTAGTATTGCATCATTCATATCTCCGAAGAGTCTTCAGTTTATCAGATTTATAAAAGAAAGATACAGCTTAACGATTCTCTCCGAAAACAGCCGAGCTACTGGAGGCAAGCCATGGGCGGAGCTGAAGAGTTGCGAGCACTTACGGCCAATTGGCAACAAAACACAGACATTTGATACAGTTTTACAGCAGTTCATGACCGTGGGATCTTTTATCGCTGGGACTGCTCCGTCTTTCAGAATCAAACGATGTGCAAATCCAGTGTCAGAATGTACCTTGTTATAAAACATTCTTTACCAATTGACGGGAACAAACAAACACACTTGTGAAACTCCGTTGCTGCACCGGAAAAACAAATTGCACCCACTGTTCACACAACACTGAATAAGGCTATATTTTCCTCACATCCAAAAACACACATCTTGGAGAAATTCTTCTCGATGAAGTTCCCATCTGAACTTAGTTCATCTAAGTTACCAACTTACTAACTACCTTCTTTAGTCAGTCACATACTCGTGAAGTACTTATCAATAAAGTAGCAATGTGTGAAGTAATGCTAACTCGGTCACATCCGAATCAGACAGCTTATGATCAGTGCGGTGAATTTACGGGTTTAAGTTAACGAACTTGAACAACTCTGAGATGAATCCATTGGG